ATAAAATGAAGCTTCCCCCAGTGCCTGTTACACAGCTGTAAACTATGCCATGTATCATTCTAACAAACGCTACATCAAGGGCAGCGAGGTGGCCCAGTGGATAGTTCAAATCCAGTCTCATACCAAACACCTGATACTTACCAGCTGTGTGACCCTGGGCAAGTCACTTAACCCCAAATGCCTAAAACAAACAAACAAACAAAAACCCAAATGCTATATCTTATGCTATTTGGGGCTGGACCCGTGATGCTACTGGGATCCCAAAGTGGAAACTTCCCCCCTCTATCAATACAAATCAGCAACTACTTTCCAACTAATAGTCTCAGAGTTACTAGTGATTTGCCCAGTGTCACATAGCCAGGATGTAGCAGAGGCAGCACTCGAACCCAGTCTGCCCTGACTTCAAAGCAGGTCCTCCATCTACTATGGTTTGGGTGCCTCTATATAATAATGCCATTTACATGCAAAACATTTAATCTAAAATTAGGATAAATACTGCCTTCTTGTACTAAGCAAAGAATCATTAAAATTATAATAAAAGCCTGATCAATTATCTAATATTTTAAACCCTATTATGAAAACCACCGTAAGCCTGGTGTTTTCTCCAATTACACTGTGAATTCAGTTACAAATTCTAAAACAGGTACTTATATTTGTATATGTACATTTTATGTATACATACACACATAATATTTTAAAAGACTCTAAGTTCCTAAGACAGTATTCTTTACTACTCTTAAATACAAGATAGAACAAAGAAACAAAACAAATTAACTGGTTCTTATGTAAAATACTTTGAAAATATAATCAGTGCACAGGAAAATCAATAGGCTACATAGTCAAAACCATTAAGCAGTAATCTTACTGCAATTCCAGGAAAACTAACGTTCATTTCAGAATTATTCCAGTATGCTTTATTATATAAAAGAAACGATAAAGTCTTTTATACCTTAAAAAAAAAAACCCTAAACAAACAAACCAAAAAAAGGGTAGGTCAAATGTTTTTATTTTTCCTTAAACCCCAAACTGGTCTAACTAATATTCTACCCGTGATACTTTACAAAGAAAGGTCAAACTTGGTCTGTTCAAAACAATGTATGGAGAAATTCTTAAACTGTTCAGAAGGGTAGCTGGGAAATCAATCAATCAACAAGCCTTTAATAGTCACCAAGGGGGTCATTTACTATATGCCAGATACTGAAGATACAAAGAGAAAGGGGGGGGAAAAAAAAGCCATTAACAGTCCCTGTTGCCCTCAAGAAGCTTCCTATCTATCTGAAGGCCATAACTACGCCTCAATCAGTATTAACATTCCCTGCAATTACAGAGGAATACTCAAGCAGTGAAGACAGCACCAGACTCAGGATTGAATACTAATTCTAGCTGTGTTGACCTTGTCACTTTGATTCCAGTCTCAGTTTCTCTATCTGTACAATAGAAATAATAATACTTGAACTATCCTACCATCACAGGACTGTTGTAAAGAAACTATTACAAAACTACATAAATGTGAGATATCATTATTCAGAAAGAATGGTGAAATACTGAAAATGGCAATAGAAAAGAATTTAGGATCACAGTCATGGAATCAAAAGGAGTCATTTTATACCTCACGTGATAATAACCACAAGACAAACTACCCAATAGTTCACCTTTGGACTGGAATAATTTTCAGCAGCCTTGAAAAAGCTTATTGGTTAACCAAAGCATAAGTTATTGCTTTCCCTAGGCAAATGCAAATTTGAAAGGCTATTTGATGGTACTTGTATACCCAAGATATTCTAGTCTTTATTCCCACTGCTTACTAGTTAGGCACTTTTTATTATAAGTGTCTTAGCCAGTAGTTCTCCAAATCTAGTCTAGAAGAGAAAATAAAATACACCTACCCCTGACCCAGGAGGAGAACATTAACGGTGTAAATGATGGTTTAGCTTAGAGTCAGGGGTGCTTAATCTTTTTCGTGTGTGTCTTAACCCTCTGACAGGTAAGGGAAGCCTAGGACCTTTTCTCAGAATAATGCTTTTTTACTAATTGAAGAAATACTAAGTTTCAGTTAGAGAATAGTGAAAATAAAGGTGTTACTTTTTTCCCCCATCCAAGTTCATAGACCCTCTGAAATTTATCAATCCACAGACCTCTGAATGCCTGAGGAGTGGGTGGACTCCAAGCTAAGAGTACCTGGCTTAGAGCTTTGATTCTGTCTGTACACCAACGTGCATTCTTAGGAAAGAATAAAGACAGATCAATACAGCACTCTGTACAATGCCTAGCACAGCACCATCTGTTATTAGATACAAATTTTGGGTTTTGTTTTTTTTAAGGTAATGAGCAAAAAAGTTCTTTCATAGTTACCAGTTGATGGTTCACTAAATACAAATTCTGACAAGTTTTCTAGGAGAGAAGTTGGACAATTTAGGTTTAATAACTGTAGAATACATAACATACATAACAGCACAACTTTCCTTTTATCCATATAATGTTTGCTGAATTTAATTCATCTAGCAAAAGCAGGAGACCGGGAAGGAAATAAATTCAAGGCATACAGATATATCCAAAACCATGGTGTAGAACTGGCTTTGAATTTTTATAAAATTAACATTTCGTGAGAAAAAGTAAGAAGTTACTTTCCAGCCTTGTCCTTATTAAATGACATCCTAGAATAAAGTTAAAAGGAAGAGATATCAAATCTGTAACTGCTTTTTGGCTATTCAATAGATAAAAGTAAAAATTAATTCATTCCATTATTGGTTCTACTGATAGAGATGAAAGTTTTTTATTTCTGAGAAAGATGGAGGTAGTCCTCAGATTTTTAGTACCTTAAAAAAAGGACCCCCAAAAGCCAGGTCAACAAGTATGCCTTTATTTAAAGCAACATCAAAATCTTATATGAACAATCAATGACTTCGCTATATTTCTTTAATGTTTCCAACAGTTTGGAAGAAAAAACACTTAAGGCTTCACATGGTCCCCTAGAAGTTTACTATAACATGCCACTAATATGAATTCACAATAGAGATGCAAACTAAGCCTTAAATGCAGTTTCCAGGGGAAATTTTCAAGATTTTGTAAAACAAAAGGGCAAAATGTTTAAATGTCATCTTCCAAAATTTCCATCAGAATGATGATGATCCTGAGGCTAAATAATTTTCTTGTTTGGGAGGACAGGGTGGGTGGAGACGGGAATCAAGGGGCAAGGAACTTAAATGGTTTTGTTAAATATTTTTAAAATAAAGCTAGGTTCCAATAACCCCAACGTTACTTAACTATAGCCCTTCTAGATGGTCAACTAGAATTTGTCTATTTCCTTTTCTCCCATGGTTAAAAGAAATGTCAATTAAACATAAATAACTGCTCAAAAATGTTTTTAGAAGATGGACAGTTTCTAACACATAAATATCCTGCATTAAGTGCAGCCTATTTGTAAAAATCTGGGTGTAAGAAACGACAGGGCAGTGGGGGGGGGGGGGAAGAGAGAGGGGAGAGATGGCCATTCTGCTTTCTAAGATTCTTTTGTTACCATTTTTTGCTTTAGCTCCTAAGGTGTATCTTCAAGGTACACAAAGCTATCCATTACAAATACACCAGCAGTGCTAGGGTTCCATTAATAACCACCAAAGAAATGAAGTGTTTCTTGGATTCTGTTTATCTTTAAAATAAAAAACAGCAAAATAAACTGAAACTAAAAAGGTCACATAAAACAGGTTCATTGCATCACAAACAAGTCAATCTATTTGACTTTAGCCAAATGGGTTAAGACAAAAATCTCCTTCAAGTTTTGCTATTCTCTATTTGTTTATAGTTCTCTAACACGTGATTAGGGTTGGGGTGGATGCTGAATATACACACCTATATACACGTGTGTGTACACATGACGTTTTTCTAGGTGACTTCTGGAAAAAAAAAAACTAAATATGAAAACCAAAAAATGTACCACAATAATTTGAATGGAAAACAAGAGTTACTTTATACCATAAAAAGAGCAAGATCAAAACGAGATCCAGGAACTACTAAGTGAAATGGTACTGTTACCTTCACTAGCTAATTCCCGGTCAAAGGTTTTTTGGTTTCTAGTCAATGAAGATGTGGAAGTCAAATTAATGATCAGTTACTGTGAAGTGGCCTGATTTTTAACCCCTTCTAAGTTTCATACTCTTAACAACAGAGGAGAGCTTTTAGTATAGCTCATGACTTTTCAATTTCAGAGTAATCTTTCTTCTTCCGAGTGTTTAGCATATAAAAATCTGCTGGTGGCGGGGTGGGGAGAGGAAGGGAGGTAGAGAGAAGGCCAGGGACAGGGAGGAGACTGTTCCACAGGCATTTTGCACTTATATAACCTCAAAGTACTTAGCGTTAAAACTCGAATTTATAAGACCATAATGACAAAGTATGCATTCCTTTTCTACCTTGAAAAGCAAGAGCATTTCCGATTTAACCGACCAGAATAGTCCTTATCAAACGAACACATAGAGGTCCAAATGCTAACGTTTGTTTTGGGCACTTAAAACACCTCGCAGCAGTCTTTAGGAATACACATAAGCAGTAGCCTCCAAAAAGAAAAATATTAAAAATTTATGGTAAAAAGAAATACGACGACATTGTAGGAACCATCTTTACTGACTCTTTAACCTTAAGAAAAAAATATCAAAAATTCATGGTAAAAAAATACTAGCCTAAGAACGACATTTCAGGTACCATCTTTATGGAACCTTTAGAAAAAAAAAGAAAAAAGAAAAAAGGCACAGCCTGGTGAAACAGCCACCTCTTCTCAGGCTAGAGGTAGACTGCTCCACGAATCGCAGGAAAACGCGGAAAATCCTCGGGAGCACAGAGAGGAGCCCCTCCGTGGTCGCGTCCTCTCCCCCCCGCGCTCGCCCGGCCGTCTCTTGGGGCTGTCACCAAGTCCTCGGACGCCCCAGAGAAACCGAGCGACCCCCGCGGAGGGCGCCTCTTCGATAACAATCCCCCGGCCCCGGCCCCGGCCCCGCCCGCGCCGCACGCACCTTGTGACAAGCTGGACAGGTGGGCAGCGGGCTGCCGTGGCCCGGGGAGCTCTTGCCGCTGTTGCCGCCCGGGCCGCCGCTCAGGCTGCTCTGGATCTGCGTGAGCTCCTGGCGCAGCACCTGCTTCTGGTGGAAGCTGAAGGCCGGGTGGTTGGAGGCCATGGTGAAGAGCAGCAGGAACTCATCGCCCGTGCGGCCCTCGTTGAGCTGCAGCCCGTAGTTGTGGATGATGGAGTCGATGTGCGTGAGCGTGCGGTACAGCACCCCGGCCGCCTCGCGCTGCTCCGAGCCCAGCAGCGCCAGCGACACCAGCAGCTTGCTGCGCACCACCTCGTCCGTCAAGTTCGTCAGGCTGCCCAGGTCGGCTGGGTTGTTGGCCTTGATCTCCGAGTCCCGCAGCGAGTGGTAGTCTTTGCGGGCCAGGTCCTCGAGGCACGAGCCCAGGAAGCGCAGCTCGAGCGGGATGCACAGGTCCAGGAGGCCGCAGAGGAACTCCACCCGCTGCGGGGAGGGCAGCTCCGAGAACCAGCGGTACACGCCGTCCCTCTGCAGCGGGCACCGCTTCTCCACCATGCTGCCCTGGCCGGGGCCGCCGCCGCTCCGGGAGCCCGGGGGCAGGCGGGCCAGAGACACGCGCACGGCCGGAGGGCCCGGGGCCGAGTGGCGGGGGGAGCGGCCGGCGGGCAGCCGCGGCGGCGGGGGCTGG